GCGTCAGCCTAGCTCACAGCAACCTCAGACTCCCGGGCTCAAGCAATCCTTCTGCCTCAGCCTCCCAAGTAGCTGGGACTACAGGCATGCGCCACCATGCCCGGCTAATTTTCTTTTACATATATATATACTTTTAGTTGTCCAGATCATTTCTTTCTATTTTTGAGTAGAGACGGGGTCTCGCTCTTGCTCAGGCTGGTCTCGAACTCCTGACCTTGAGCGATCCACCCACCTTGGCCCCCCACAGTGCTAGGATTACAGGCGTGAGCCACCGCGCCCGGCCTGCTTCATGTTATTTTGAAGCTCTGTTATGTGGTGTATAAATATTTAGGATTGTTATTTCCTTCTGATGATCAATTGATCCAATTACCAAAATAATCTTCTTTAGCTCTGATGATAGTCTTTGCTCCAAAATCCACTTTATCCAATATTAATATAATAACTCCAGCTTTTTGATCAGTGTGAGCATATCTTTTTCCCTTCTTTTACTTTTAACTTGTGCTCTTAAATTTAAAGTACACTTCTTGTAAGCAACATATAGTTTGGTCATGTTTCCTTATCCAATCTGATCTGTCTTTTAATGGGGCTATTTAGACATTTCCACTTAATGCAATTATTGATATACTTAAGTTTATATCTATCGTCTTATTATCTGTTTTTTATTTATAACATCTGTCATTTGTTCCCTTTACCTTCTTTTTCTGCCTTGCATTGGATTAACTATTTTTTATAATTCCATTTTTATCTGCTCTGCTGGCATATTAGCTATAACTTTTTGTTATTTTTGTGGTTGTTTTAGGGTTTACATCTTTAACATATCATAGTCTACCTTCTATTGCTATATCTTCAAGTTCATTATTCTTTTTTTCTGTCATGTTTGATATGCCATTAATCTCATCCAACATATTTTTCATCGCACACACTGTAGTTTTAATCTTTAGAAGTTCAATGCTGATCTTTTTAATATCTTCCACATCTCTACTTAACTTTTGAACATAGGGCATACAATTATAATAACTGTTTTAATGGCCTGTTAGTTGTAACATCTGGGTCAATTCTGGGTTGATTTTAATTGATTGATTTATCTCCTCATTAGAGGTCATTTTTTCCTACATCCTTGTATACTTGCTAATTTTTTATTAGAGTCAAGACATTGTGAAGTTGCTAGATGTTTCTGTACTCCTATAAATATTCTTTAGTTTTATTTGGGATACAGTTAAGTTACCTGGAAACAGTTTGATTCTTTCAAGGTCTTACGAAGAAGATTTGTTATGCAGGACTGAAGTAAGGTTCAGTTCAGGGCAAAGTATCCCCCACTACTGAGTAAAAGTTCTTCTGTTTACTCTATCTACTGCACAATAAATTTTAAGGATTTTCTCAGTCTGGTTGTTGGGAAGAGGTACTACTCCTGGCCCTGTGTGAGTGCCAGACAGTGTTACCTCTAATTTTGTCAGCTGGTTCCTTCCCTGGCATCAGGTAGTTTCCTAAAATACATACACTGATCAATACTAGCTACATACTTGAGGGGGACCTTCTGTGGATCTCTGGAGTTTTCTCCTCTATGAAGAAGTTCTCTCCTCTCTGCTATACTGTCTTATGAATTCTAATGACCTTGGTCTCTCCAGAATCTCAACTTTATCTCCTTAACTCAAGTCCACCAGGCTCTGCTTGGGTTCCTCCTTCCTGCACTACAGCCTGAAAAATCTCTCAAGGAAATAAACTGGGACAATATTAGAGCCCACCTTGCTTATTTCCCTTCTCTCAATATCACTGCCCTTCACTGCCTATTTTATTTCATATATTTTGTCTATTTCTTGCTTGTTTCAAGCAGGAAATGAAATCTGTTACCTGTTCTCCAACTTGTCCAGAAGCCAAAGTCTTATCACTACATATTTTGATTGAATAAAACTTAAGGTTTCAAAAACATAATGTTTCCATTTTGACCTAAAAACAGCAATTTCCTATGTTTCAATCTATTGTTATACTGTTTTTAAAGAATGTGAGAGACTTTTGATTTAAAAATCTAATAACCCTACCTAAAAAATGAAACGATGTTTATTTGATGTGCCTTATCCTTGGTGAACCTATTTAAGGCTTGTATTAATTTTTGAATTGTTCACAAACCATTGCAAACTCCTTACAAAGCATTTTGTTGGCACGCTACCCACGTGATTTGGACCCACAGTTCCATTTGCTGCAGCCAAAAATTTTATCTCCTGGAACAGAGTCAAGATCTTAATCCAGGTATATAAGCACCAATCAATCCCTACATATAAATTTCCTCCTACCTGGTTAAATTCATCATATAATACCACTTCTCAAGACACAGTTTCTCTTTCTTTTTCCCAGATGAGTAATCTTTGCAAAACAAAATTTCTTTGCACAAGGAATTGGGCCACAGTCTCAACTGAGCTAGGCAGAAGGAAACAGCATCTGATATATCAAGAAATCAACTTGTGGGCCGGGAGCGGTGGCTCACGCCTATAATCCTAGCACTCTGGGTGGCCGAGGCCGGAGGATTTTCTGGGCTCAGGAGTTGGAGACCAGCCTGAGCAAGAGCGAGACCCCGTATCTACTATAAATAGAAAGAAATTACCCAAACAACTAAAAATAGAAAAAAAAATTAGCCGGGCACGGTGGCGCGTGCCTGTCGTCCCAGCTACCCAGGAGGCCGAGGCCGGAGGATTTTCTGGGCTCAGGAGTT